TCCTGTTTTAGATGCGTGATTTATGCATTTTGGTTGCACTTGCATTTTTGGCGATTGCTTTCGAAACAGAAGGTCGTTACATGGAGCATCGAATCTCATCACCGTCACGTCGAGCGTATAATTTCGCTGATTTCGTCTCATTACCTTTATGGGATGAAGGTGAGTCAGTGATTACCTATCGCTTCTGAAGCAGATCTTATTTGAAACTTTGAAATGCTTTTGTTGGGAACCACTGGATAAGTCTTTAGAGGAGTCTCGGGAGTTGGATAATCGTCCGGAGGTGTTTTTCATAGATGTATCCTCTTCTTCTTCGTTCCTGGGTGTCTCTTACAGTTTCATCTCGGAAGATATTCCTAGATATAGCGTATTCCACGCTTTATATCGCCAAATTGCACATGTGATCAATGCTTCAAATGATCAAATTGACGAAATAATTTATTTTATGGAAATACAAACCGATTTCAAGTGAAATTTTCAGTTGCCGAAAAATGCGAGCTTAACGATAAATAATCTCGAGCTGATTTCATGCGAGCTCATTAATATGATATCTTTATATAAGATAATGATGACGATGAATATGAAAATAGCAGTGCATTGTTGGGTACTTTGATGAAATGTTAATTGTTGCAGAAGGAGCTGAACTGAAGCCGTGTTTACCGTTCATGGATTGCGAGAAGACTGAAGCTAAAAGACGCGGACGATTCTCTGAATTTTACGATGTTGACGAGAGTCCAGATGATATATCGCTGATCAATGCCACATCGTAGCCGATCAATGCAGAAATGAACCGACCGGATAACAATAGGATGATCTGATGTGATGCGATCTTCTGCACGTGGATATTGGATATGTGTGAATATTGCTCAGTATGATCACTTCATTGAATTCGGTCANTATAAAAATAAAGAGTATAATGGTTGTCAGTGAAACATCTTTAGAGATTTTCTGATTCTGTTTTATGCACATTCAGATGTGTAACCCAACGAAGCGATATTAATAATGATAATCGCTATGAATAGTGTACGTCTATAGGAAATTTTCGGTTTTAAGTGATCATTTTTGCATGTGATATAAATTCTGTGGTTTTCTACTTAAATAAACGCCAGTTCTGTCACTTGGTCACTCTCGTAGCTTATAGTTAAATCGTCCAAAGAGTGTCCTTTGAACCGACATCGTCTCGATCCCTCATTAAATATCGTCCAAATCGTCCAAAACACGGCCTTCGTGAGAGTTTTGGATTGGATATTGATAGTGTTTTGATTGTTTGTCCCATCAGAAGAACTATTTGTGGAATACTCAATGAAGAGACTCCTCAAATCGAAATTGTTTACATGGAATGAGAAGTTTGGAATCGATGAGTAACTGAATGTTTTTGAGTTGAGTCTAATCGCTTGTCATAAATTTATGTTTACCGAAACGATTGTGTGGGAAGACGCGATCAACGTCATGCCATTTTCATCACTATGTGATTTTTCCCAAACAATTAGCGTCATCAAAGTATCATTTCAATAACAAAGGCCACAACCATCTCTACGTCACTTCCAAGTGGACACATTGGCGCACATGTTGATTTGAGTGAATCACTGAAGCTCAACCACTTATTCTGTTTCTGACAGATTTCGAATTAATCAAAATTTCAAACGAATTTCGTAATTATCCAAAAACATCAACACTAACAACCCCATGAAAGACCCATATTTGTAGTGATAAATTCTGCGATTGTTTCGGGGAATATTCGTCAAGCTGTCGTCGTATTTCTTCACTGATATGCATGAACGCATCCAGTGTGAAATTCCATATTTTTATCTTGATTTATTTATTTATGAACATGTAGCTATGCGACACGAACGTTACAGACACAAAAAAGAAGCAAATCACGATCAGTAAAGTTCATCTATTATTTATACTCATTCATGAATAATGTAAATTATGATCGATCATATGAGATAGGTGTAACAAAACAGAGAAGAACGGAATGAAATGAATAAATAAAGCATGATTTACATAGTGTGCGTACAGGAGTACGCATGTGAATCATGAATAGTGCATGATGATGATTCGTGTCGTGGCAATTTTGGTCACGCAGTGGAATTTTGGTCGCAGCCTGATAGATCCTTCCTGTACACTTTGAATTAAATCTTAAGCTTTTTCAAATGCTTCGGAAACATGATTCCAAACGTAACGATATGAACTGCTAACGTTTTGATGCATGAAAATAGGCGAGTGCTAGAGTGATATGCAGGAGCTTATGCTGGACCGTCACAAGTTCCATTTATGTGCTATCGTATCCAGATGAGTTGCATGTACTTGAGAATTTCTTAGGTTCTATCGAGTTCAGTCGTTCAGCGAAAAACATGCTAGGTTTAGATGAAAGGAACAAAATGCCGGTCAACAAATGATATCTTGGATATAAGCTGTTAATACAAGAGAAATCTTTGCTGGTGAAAAATCTCGGAGAGTATTTTAAAAAATCATGTATGTTCCGCTGCAGTGGAGTGGGTAATTCTACCAGTTCGTGATGGAGATGAGTGAGATTCTCTGTTCATTTACATTGAAGTATGGCTGCTC